CAACTATATTATAATGATAATTAGAGTACTAATATGGCTATCGTTAATTAACGAACTTGTTCGGGGTCTTGTAAGAGTCCGTTTGCCCCAAAACGTCTAGTCAGTTATCAGCTGCTAATTCGATGCCGGTTCATACCCTTTGCACACAATTTATAAATAGCACAAATATAATATGCGTAAAAAAAAGTAAAAAAAGAAGTGGTTAAATTGCCGCCTTGTTAAAGTATCACACCACTGACGTCATGATTTAGTAAAACAATGTAACTCCAAGGTGCGTTAAAATGACAAATACTAGTTTACGCTTGTAATGTTAACAGTGAGAAAACAATTCTTTTTTTGTATACTAAATAAATGATTGATAATCATAATTGATTTTTTAAAGTGTGATTTGATAAACAACATATATATATATAAAGTTAAGTTAATTCGTTTGAGGTCAGCAGTTTATTGTGTCAAACGTTACCAATTACTGATAATGGAAGAAAATATAAACAACATACTTCTAAGCTTGAAAGGACTGAACATCATGTTTTAACTCACATACCGTTCCCTGTATCTTACATTGGTCTGTGATTTCATGCGTCACAGTTCGTATTTGAATAAATGTAAATCGCACTATCTATTCTCTATCACCAACTCTAACCGCTCTAATATCAAGATCGCATCAACGTTATTTTTGTTTTTCACCATGATATCAAATTCGATAAGATTTGATTCAACAACGCCAGAATATATTCCTTTAAAGGTCAAAGCCATGAGGTCAGGTCAACCTCAAGAGTTGTAAACAAGATTGTCATCTAACGTATATTGTATAATTTGTACGTTACAGGTGCTTTTCTTATACCATACTTTCTGTTTATGGTGATACTTGGAATACCCATGTTTATGCTGGAGATCAGTCTTGGTCAATATCTACAACAAGGAGGCATCACTGTTTGGGAAATTATTCCGTGTTTCAAAGGTATTTATCATGAAGTAATGTAATTAATTAACTAAAATGACCAGCGTAATTATGTTAATATTATGAATGTAATTATTTGCTTTGATCCAAACATGTTAACAAGTGTTTATTTTCTGTAGGCATTGGTTACGGATCAGCAACAATCTCCTGTATATTGAATATTTATTATATCATAATCATTGCCTGGGTCAATATCTACCTGGTGTGTTCGTTCTTTCCCACATTACCCTGGACTATCTGTGACGGATGGTGGAATGATATCTGGTGCTACGATTACGCTACACACAACACTACTTCTAATGGGACACAGTTTATAACAGGAGAATACAACAACATAACGATAGACATAGCGCATGCAGACTCCCCTGCGGAACAGTTTTGGAAGTAAGTGTCTGTGTGCAGAGAATTCACGAAATAAAATATTCTCTCTGAACTTATTTGTATGCCATAAAACATTTTATTTAAATTTTATTGATGGACGAACAACTTCTTTTTATCCACCAACGGCCCTAGAAGCGCCACATTATTTTGAATTGGCATGGTATATCAGATGCTGTTTATGGATATATTTTAAATATTTAGTGTGCCTGAATTTTGTTTACAAGTATAGCCGGACAATTTTCTGGGTGTAATTTATTTAGTTTATGGTATTATTGTACAGTTTTGTTACTGAAGAAAGATGAACTAAAGAGGGCGGTATATTAGTGAATACGAAATATGCTATTTGTATTAGATTTATTGATAGAACATGGTTTTCTCTCCAAGGTTTGATTAAAGTGTGAATTTTATCTGTTTGATTGGGTTAATATATTCTCACATCTTGACGTCTGTCTATTTACAATTTTGTATCGTATGACCTATGACCTCGATTGTTAACATATGACATTTATTTTTTATTGCAGTAACTTTGTTCTGCAGATTTCTGATGGCATTCACGAGATTGGCTCTCTTGTCTGGACGCTGGTGGCGTCCTTACTCGTTTCCTGGATAATATGCTATGCTTGTATCGTCAAAGGTGTTAAGACAACAGGCAAGGTGAGCTGTGGCGTCAGTTTGTGTGTATCCAATCACGTGACTAAGGATTGATACATATGTAACATGTACAAGAATGTGGAATGAACGGTACACATTACGTCATCATTACAATTGCACTGTTGCCATGGCCATCCACATAAGCTTTTGATATGAAACACCTCATTAAAGTTTGACCTGTGAAAATGAACCAATGCTGTCAGTTTAAAATACGACATAGTAACATGTATACTTCGTTTCCCGGACTTGGATTTGAAACAGTGAGAGATATTACAGTGAATAACGATAAGGCGACACATTGGTTAAAATACATCTGCAAATCAATTCATTTGCATAACATATGTTATGTGTTAACTTATTAGATCGTCTGGTTTACGACTACATTTCCATATGTTGTGATGACGTGTCTGTTGATACGTGCGGCTACTTTACCCGGTGCTTCAGATGGTATATATTATTACCTTGTTCCGGACTGGAGTAAATTACTGGAAATACAGGTGAGTAACGTGATTCACTAATCGAAGATCATACGTTATGATCCGAAAATGTT